AAATCGGTCACCTGAGTAGTGAAAAAACGAATTTATGTCAGTTTATACGGTAAGACGAGGGTTATATTTCAGTTAAGCTTCAAAAAGAAATAGGCTTTGGTTTTTCTTATGTTCTGGGCACGTGCTATGCGTGGAATCTGTCGAATCAAGTCTTCCTTAGGTAGCTTAAGCTGAGCTAAAAGGTCTTGGTTGAGTTGCTCCATAATCAGATAAGTAGGTATCAAGAAGTTAGTATTTCAATTGAAAAGTGACTTTAAGTGAAATAGACTGTCAAATTATGTACATCTCAAATAAGTGGCAAACACACATTTGCTGACTGTCCCATTTGTCCTATGACCAATTGGCACCTGTGGCTCTGCGGTGGAGTGAGAACGTTGCCACGATCTCACGGTCTGGTATCGAATCCCGTCGAGGGTGCTGATTCATTCTGAGCGAGGTCCAAGCTATGGTTCACTTCGAGCTATTGCAATATTCAATGACATTCTAGAGCCTACTCACCCGATTGCCTGGGGAAACTCAACTATCCGTTCTTGAAATCATCTTAAGTGACGTTACGGCTGACTGATTGTTTGTTCATGAAACGCATATAGTCTCGAAAAAAACTTACATCGAAAACAAGACCAAAAGCCAAATTTTCACATACTTGTATACTGACTGTTGGAAACCCCTAGATATGGGATGGCTGTATTTTATCAAGCAGACTGCATTTTATATAAGAGGCTGAGGATCGCGGGCCATATGGAGTGGAAAAATAGATTCAGAACCTCAGTCTTCACAAGATTGACATAAACCTGCTAGTACCAATAGCTGTAATCTCATGATTAAGAATAACCAACTGCTTTATTTGAGGGTTTTTTTTGGTCAAACATTCTACCTGTTCCAGCTTCTTTTGCTTGGCTTTATCGCAGTCCCACAATCTTACCATTTACACGTAAATATAAATATGTATACGCATAGATCCCCAAGTGTGTATGCCATTACTATGAGGCATAAAAAGACATGAACAAAGCCAAGGTCATACCATTGGCCCAACTCCCCGGCCTACAAGTACAAATCAACCATTCGTTTCGTAGTGAACACGAGTTTCAACTTCGTGTTGACTAGCGCCTCTCAAGCCCACCAGACTCCGCCTCCCCAATCACACCGACCCCCCTACCGCCTTCACACCGACCGGCCTAATGCTCATCATTCCTACAGGCATCACTCATGGCGGAAAATCACAGTCAGGCTTTACATATCCCGTCAAACCCACCACCTCGTCAGCCTCAATTTCCGACCATTTGTTGTATCGCGGCGTCGCGGCCCGGTTTCTGTTCCATCAGTCTGTTGCCCGGGACTCGAGCCCTCCGGGCCGACTCAAACCGGCCTGTAGGAAAGGGTGAGATCACCTCTTTACGACCAGACTCATGGCCGTCGGAAGGTCGGAGATGGCTGGTCGACGTACCGAAATGCCAATCACAACTTCCTGTTGGCGTTGCTGGTGTTGCTGTTGCCCATGGCGTAATCTGCTGTTGTTACCGTAACAAGGCAGAACGAATGTATGGAAGCCTTATCGAGACGTTGGCCCCCAATCTGGCCAAGTAATCCGTCAACCAGTTGGGCAGACGAACTGACCAGTCGACAAACTTCAGCCTAACACAGGCACACTCTACGTCAGTCCCAGCCTCATCGCAGGTCATGCTGCAAGTAGACATACACACACCTACACACACACAGACAGGCAGGCAGGAAAACAGGCGTGGAGACTGACTTGGGATTGGGCGAAGGAGCAGAAGTATTGTCTCAGAGGCAGAATGTTTTTTGCGTCTGTTTCACATTGCACAAATTCACAAGCCCGTCTGGCGAAAGGAGGCTAGAGAAGGGGAAGGGGGGTTGAGGGAAGATCTAAAGATGGAAGTCTGCCAGTTTCGCGTTGAAGCTGATAGAGTGCAAGATCGCAAGTTCATCTGTAAAAGGCCATTTTGACCTGTCCATCTCGTAGGTCTGTGTGAGCATATCTCTTGTTAAGAGGAAGAGACCGATAGAGATAGATAGATAAAGAGAGAGAGAGAGAGAAAACACTAGAATAAATACATGCGGGGAGAGACAGCTGTTGCCTGAGCTCAGGCATGACTACACTGAAGTGAGAAGAGGCAAATCGACAAGACAGATCACAAAGCTGAAACCCAAACTAGACCTGGATTCAAGCAAACCACATGGACGGACTTGAAATGAAACTTATTTGGCTTCCATGTCAACTAGTAATTGTGTGTCAAGAATGGATGAATGCTTTGCGGAAGAGATAAGATTGTTGTTGGTCGTCTTCTGGTGGAACCGACCTTTGAATCTCTTGACCCAACACTTTCACTCGAAATGGAAGTAAGCTCAACAATTATGCAACAAGAGATTCCTCGAAATCCAACTTTTCTTCGTAGATATAAGGTTCACAATAAAAGCGTTAGTTAGGAATAGGAATGATTATTTTTCATTTCGACAGCATGGAAAAGATATATTAAATAAATCCTTGGTTTTAATTAATCAGAAGAATAGTTATATCAAGTTCACATGTTTAACATATTGGGATGCTTTGTTTATCAGGACAGATGTGAAGTCCGGAAGATACAGGCAAATTTTTCGTTTTTTATAAATGGGCTTTCGAGACTACCAGTAGATCATATATATAAATCGCATTCACCCTACTACATTCAAGGTGATAAGGGGACTAGTAATTGCATTTTCCCACAATTATATGAGTGGGCCTTACGTTTCCGTTGGATTTCACTAAGCCTTACTTACCCAAAAGTTATTCTCATCCAGTCAGGAGTGGACTGCAGCTTCGACCTTGCCTAGTCCTTATCACTACCCCCAACGGGACTCGAACTATGACACAGTAACCACTACACCACATTGCCACAAGTACCTTTTGGGTGACAGAGGATGTGTAAATTTAAAGGAAGGCCATATCACATTCTGTGGTGGGATTTTCGATGAAACAAAGTCGTATTTGCTGTTGCAATCGACTATATTACTTATTATTTGACTATAAGTAAGTTTTCAAGACA